TGAAATCTTAATAAAAAAACATGTTTAAGTGAAAGTTGAAGAGAATGTAAGAAACTAAAATATGAAAGTTATTAACTTGTTTTCATGTTTCGTACCAAGGGAAAAATATTGGTTGACCCCGTTTGGCATGTCTTTTTGTGCAAACTGTCGGCTTTTTAAAAGTCTGGTAGTTCGCGTTTTTGTCTTTTCTTATTTAGTCGAGAAAAGATCCAACTGTCAAAAGACGTTATGCTGAAAAAAATGTTCGAACTCTGTTTTGAATGATTTTTGGGAAGCTTCAAATGGGGTTTTTTTGTTTTTCAACTCTTCTTCGTATAGAAAGACACGCTTTAACCAAATGGTCTTTAGGCTGTCAAAATCTTAATGCAAAAGCTCATTACAACTGTCAAAATTTTCAAAAGATCTATCAAAAAAGACTTGCCAAACGACCCTTTTTATTAACTATATAGAAAAAGGTTGAATTGAATATCAATATAAAATGCTCCTTATAAATATGGTAAAGAGAGGTGATGATCACATCTTCAGGCAATTGACCCTAAACAGACAAAAGCATGGCTAGCCACTCATTCAAACTATTCAAGTCCCAACTGGAGAAGTCAGATTAATATTGGAATGGTGGAGTAGGATGATACAAATCAGGATGGGAAGGCAAAGTGAGAATTATTGGGACAAGTTGGCATTTATTCTTTGGGGAAAAGTAGAATAAAGAAAAAGAAGCATAACATGTCAAATCCCCACACAACTAGTTGAGAATGCTTGGAATATGAATATATATAGGACAACATGTACAAATGGTAGATATTGAAATGGAAAGCTCTGATTAGAGAAAATGATCAATCAACCAACATGACAAGGAAAAACATAAAAGAAAAATGGCAATCAATGTGGTAGACGCAGCAAGAGAAGCCCATTTATTGGTAAGGTCAAGTGGAAAGGAAAGCAAGAGATACGACTCTAAATTAGTGATTAATAAGTTCTTTTAATAATTTATGGAACCATTTTTTTCCCTCTGGGTAATAGTGATTATGAGAGATAAGTTTTTTTTATTCAATTTTTATGAGTGGGTTTGTCGGTTTAATTTGGGTAGGAAGATATTAATGAATTTCTGCCTGTGATTGATGATGAATTAGATTGGGTAGGGAGAAATGGGGACAGAAATGGAATTGGTGGGTCCAGTCAGTTCAATTATTTGGTTGGTTAATGGCTGTGAACTGAAAGATATTTGAAGCTAGAGGTAGGTTTAGTTGGCCTAATAATAGAATGGGTTGAGGATTTATTGTTAGATCTCTTGATATGGTGTTGGTGTCCCCAGATTGTTGAATTTGTTTCCTAATATTCTTCTTAATATGAATTTAACATGGGAGTCTAATCTTCACCCTCTTATTTTTGTAACCTAAGGCCTAAACCTTTTAGGTTTTATTAAAAGTGACTTTTAGACACAATTAGATATAATTTGAGAAAATAGAATTATGAATAACTAGGCAATATTAATAAGATTTTATGCCAAATTAAAAAAAGAATTGACACTTGGAAGGGGAGGAATTAATTGAAGATCATAAGAGAGATTTTGTTGTATTGCTAGGGGTTGTATTTGAAGTGCTCTTAAAAGCAGTAGTGGCTGCCATACCTGCTTATACTATGTCTTACATTTTTTATCCCCAAGAGTGTATGTAAAAACCATGGAAAATTCGAAAGAAAATTTTGGTGGGTGAGCATAGAGAATCATAGGAATATTCATTGGGCTCAATGGAAAGTTCTAAGCAAAGCCTTCTAACTAGCAGGGAGATTCTTCAATAAGGAACTTGTTGCTCAGTAGACTCTAGAACAATGGTTAAAGAAAAGTTCAAAATATTGATACACCCGATATGCCGGTAGGGGCGTATCAGGCCATATTGATACTTTTTTTTTTCAAAATCGGTTCAGGAGGTGGTTTAAGGCTCCTCCACCCCCTGAATCGATCAAAACCCCGATACACCCCCTGTAGGGTAGTATTGGGGATTTCCCAAAACGATACGTATCGGCCAATACGGGCCGATATGTATTGATACTTTAAACCTTGGATTAAAGTTTGAGAGGACCCATGGATCCAAAAGCTACCGGGTTTCAAGATAATGGGGCCAAGATCAAATACACCCAATTTGGTTTGGGTTAAGGATCTCTTGATTCAAGGAGAAAGGAAATGGAATGAAAAGGCTCATAAGAGAAAACTTCGATGAAGGTACAGCAAAAAGTATTCTTAGTATAAATTTGGTTGAAGGCTTGTGGGAGTCCTTTAAACTATCGTGTAAACCAAGGCCAAATATATTCCTCTTTTGATGAATGGCTAGCTGCTTGGCTTGATAGATGTAACGTGGAGGACAGAAAAGATTTTATAATTGTGTTATCTTTCCTTATTCTATCATTCTATGGGTTATATTAAGGGTACAAATACATTAGATCATGATCCGATCCGATTCTATTTGGTCAAATTCAGATCACCCCTGTTTGGATCTTTGAATTGGATCAAATAATAAGATTCAATAAAAAATCAGATCGGATTCGGTTCACCCCCCTATCTGATCCAAGAAGATCCAATCCGATATATATTATATATTTATAAATATAAATATATATAATACATATATATATGTTATTTATTTATTTATAAATATATTTTTATAAATTTGTTATATTATTTATTTTTTATAAAAAAACTGTATATATATGATGAAAATAATTAAAAAATGCTTATACATTTTGTTTTTACTTTATTTAAATTAGTATATATTATTTTTCTTTTAATAATTTATTAATTTTTAAAGAAAACAAGTCAGATCGGATCAAATCCAAAGATCCGATTTACCGATAGGATTCGAATTCAAATCGAGTGTTATCAGATCCGATATGATCCGACATAAACAGTGTCGGATCCGAATTGATGTATCTTATGAAATACGAAAAATGTTTTCAATGTACATCCAAGGTTCAAAGTATCGACACATATCGGCCCGTATCATCCGATACCAAGGTTCAAAATATTGGAAACGCTATGCGTATCAGAAAGGTAAATTTAAGACGTATCGGGATACACCTTGGATACGCATGGATACGGATGAAAAATTAAGATACGCATGGAAATGCTATAAATACTATAATAAATCATAAATAAACATTAATATCACTAAATATAAGACATAAATGAGCTATTTATGCATAAAAATAACATGTTTTAGTGGGTTTTATGAAAAAAAGACATTATAATCAATAAACGGGAAGTCGGGAACAGAAACATACTATCTAATTATGGACATTATAGATCAAGTAATTATTTTGCATGTTTTATTCTAATTTTTAAAAACTAAATAATTATTTATTTTTATTCAAATAATTATTTTGAATGTTTTATTCTAAAATTTAAATTAAAATTAAGAAAAGTAAATATGTAACAAAAAATTGAATGGATTTATGGACATAATAGATGAAATAATTACTTTGCATATGTTATTCTAAAAATTAAAAAAATAAATATCAATGTTTTAAAACATAGAGGCGTTCCACTACCTAAAGCATAGTTTAGAATGCAAGAGGTGTAAACCTCTCGAACACAAGGAGGCCAAAGCTTCCTTAAGAGGAGGAAGGAGGAAGGGGGGATTTTATTTTATTTTTCTTTATCTTTAATAAAAAATTTTTATAATAAGAACAATAAAAATGCATAATAGTTGTTCTCGCCTCCGCTTCGACAAGACCCCCCTAACTCAAAAAAATAAATTGGGCTACATTAAAAAGGGGGACCGGGGGAGGGGGGTCTAGGGGGCGAAGCCCCCTAGCCAAAGGGGCAAGGGGCAAACCACTTTCTTTCCCCTTATCTTTTCTAACATTGGTTGAAAATGTAAAAGAAATTTGAAAAAACATTTATTTTCGCTCATTTTTTCACAACCTTGAAAAACTTATTGAATCTTGCAAATTTATAGATATTTTGGCAAATTTTTATAAAATTTGAGTCTTTAGAAAGGTTAAAAAGCTTTTTGAAGAGTTTGGGAAAGAAATAGGGCTTCTAAAATGGGTTTAGAAACCCTCTTTCGAAGGAAGTTTTATTGCAATTCCGCCATAATAAAATCGTATTGTATCGATCGATACGGTGCCAAAACACACCGATACTCAACGATACGGCCACGATACGGCATCGATACAATGAATAGATACGGCACATTCAATTTGGTACCATGTACCGTGCTGAAAACTTGCCGGAACAATACATATCAGCCAATACAGGTCGATACATGACGAAATTTTGAACCTCAACCAATACATATCATTCCGGGACCCCTCCGATACGCCCCTATAGTGGGTGTATCAGGGGTCTGACCGGTTCGGGGTAGAAGAGCCCTAAACCAGCTCCCCTGAACTGGTTTCAGAAAAAAAAATAAAAATAAAAAAAAAAAAAAACAGTATCAATTCGCTCGATACGCCCATTTGAACCTTGTGCACAGCTGTAGTGAGGTGGATAAACATGGGTACGAGATCCGAATTGATGTATCTTATGTGTATGCAAAGCATATTGCTATACCTTCCCTATAATACTCTGCATTTCTAATAGTTTGAAGTTCGAATATAATCCACAAGCAGCTCTCAATTTGAACTACAAGTAGAAAATAAATATTTTGGATGCAATTTATAACAAAAGGAAGAGTGAGAAATGGGCTTTATTTTGATTTTTCATGAAAAATAAAATAAATTACAGTTAACTTGATTAACCTTTATTACCAGAACCCGAATCAAGCATATACTGCATAGAGATAGGAAGTATAGTCCCCGGTTGCCATTTAAGCTTGGTTGTCGTGAAATAGGGACTCAAGAAGAGCATTCGAGTCCAAATGCACCGACATCGTAGTAGAAAATATATCCAGATCCGGACTCTCCCCCGTCCCAAAGAGATGGGGATCGAACAAGTGACCTATTTGGGCTTTTTTTTCCGCGGAGGTTGAAGGATGGATGAACAAGTAAAGCGCTGGTTAAACCGGTGAAAAATAACTAGTCAAGAAGCAAATTCAGGCATTTACAGCGGAATCCTGAAATGCAAGATGTCAAACAGAGATTATATCTGATTAGATGAATAACAGTAGCTAAAAAGATCAAACAGTGTCTGTTAAAATTACACGTACGTTGTGTGCATGGTTTTTTTTTTTTTACTTTCTACGTCCCCCTTACTGATTCCTCTCTCCTTTCTGTTTGCTTCAGAGTTTTCTCTAGGAGCAGAGATGGAGGAACCTGAAATGGTGCCATGGAAGAGAGCAGAGAAATAGGTAAGAGGAAACTTAATCTTCTGATTCCACGCCTTGTCCCTTTAGGTGCAAATGCTTTTCCCTCTTCTGGAATTCTGTCAATCCCTTGCCACTGCCGGTCACACCAACCTTGCCCCTAGGATCATCTGGAGACTTGAAGATACTCTCACGTTTGCGCCCCGAGAAGAATCCAATCTAAGGAGTTAAAAAATGTAAAATTATTAACATTAGATTTTCCTCTTGACAAGTAAACGAAGAAAGTCCTACTACTTTAGAACCTTAGCGATGCACAACAATATTAATTGGGAAAAGATTGCTCACAAAAGATCAAAAGCAGATCATGATGATGAAGCATCAAGAAAACTTGCCATGAGAAATACTCTGAATATTCTCACAACACATTTTAAGAGAAAGAATAGCAAGAACCAAGAAATCCTATAGCATAGAATCAGAGATTCTCACATGCACACACGCACATCTATCATGCACGGATATAAATGCCAACAAGGGCACTGATATGGGAAGCAGGAATGATACCACTGTATTTCCTAAAATCCCAGACGTGGGTGCTGGTAAGGATGTCACACAATATTCTCCCATCATGCTTTTAAATCTTTTTTTTTTTTTCTTTTTGAAGCTAAATGACATTTTTCAAGACTTGGTATCCCATCAAATTTAATTAAATATTCAAACACTTGCAGATTTTTATAACATGATTTCTGTCTATGAAATCATCTGACTAAATGCTAGAGGTTTGCCAATACATTCATGACTGATGTGCTTAAAAATACCTTCTTAGCACGGCCTTTGGTTGTCTGGAATTGCTGCCATGCATTCTGTCTCTTATTTTGTGTGACCTCAAGTTGCTCAAGTCGGACTTTCGACTTAAAGGCATGTATCTTCTTTCGCTTAGCAGCTTTCTGAAAACACAAAAGTCAATCAGTTTCCATCTCCATGGATATTTGAAAATTAACAGGTCTAATAACAAGCCATTAAGAGAGAGAAATACAAGTGGGCGATCAAATAGATGTATCTTCCAAGCAGGAAGAAGAGATAATCAAGGAAGTAATTTCTCCCTCCTGAGGAGGATGGGTTATCAAGTCCTTGATCATGCCTATGTTGCATGCACAACAAAAGAACCAACCAAGGAACAATTATTAATTTAAAAACCATCCTCCATGAAGAAAATTCTTAGTTGAAGCCAAAAAAAAAAATAAAAAAAAAAGAAGAAAATTCTTAGTTAAATAAATGACTTAACTCTAACACCTAATAAGGCAAACCATCCTTCTGTTTAAGGAGGTAATAATCACAACCAATTGGAATAGTGCAAGGATGATATTTATCCAACCTAGAAGATGAAATATATTAATCCTACTCACCACATCATCTGGGTCATTAGGATCTATACGAAGCTTAGCTGGTATAAATCCTAGTTGAATAAATGGCTCAACTCTGACACCTAATAAGGCAAACCATCCTTCTGTTCAAGGAGGTAATAATCACAACCAATTCGAATAGTTTTGCAAGGATGACATTTATCCAACCTAGAAGATGAAGCATATTAATCCTACTCACCACATCTTCTGGGTCACTAGGATCTATACGAAGCTTTGCTGGTAAACTTCGTGATTGAAAATCAGCAACAGCAGATTGTGCAATTTTTCGTTTGATGGCCTGTTTTGTAGCTTCAGCTTCTCTCTCAGCTTCTAGCAAAGCATTTACTCCTTGGATTGGCCTTATATTGCTAGGATCAACCTGGAGAGCAATCATCAAAATTGTATTATATCATGCCTCTGATAGAAGTAAAATAAAAATAAGCAAAGAAAAGAAAAAAATGAGAAGCACTAAGACTACAAAATAATGAAATTCACCCAAAAAAATGGTTCCATAGATTATACAAGTTACAGTGACTATAATAATGGGCATAATCAGAGAGCTTTCTCATATAAAAAGCCCAAGGCAACACGAAATGTTATCAGATGGCAGTCTTACCAAAACTTGAGAAGATCAAACTGTGCTTAAGAGTTCCATATTTAGCAGTCATTGCTAGAGATAATTTTTTGAATATTTTCTGTCAGAAAATATTTAAACAGACACTCACAAGTTTTCATATATCAGACGTCATATGATATTTGTTAGTGATACCAAAAAAAAAGACTTCATATGATATAGGACTTTGCAGGGAAGCAAGTGAAACACTTTTTTATCAGCAACAGAAAATAGGAATTTCATTAATTAGAATAAAAGGTATAACAAGAGGTTGTGAGACTAAAATCCAATTATAAATTGTCATAGCCCCTGTTGTTTCACTCCCATACATATTACATTTGAGCCCAAGACAGTTGTTGTCTAGTAACCCCTTGTTTTGTTAAACCGTCAGCCAAAAACCATTGGCTGATCTTTGTATCCACTGCATTTCTAACTGCATATTTCTTGAGAACCAATTTAAGTTTCTTATCTCATTTTTATATCTCCAGTTAGCATCACTGGTCTTCATCAACCAGCTAATAATCACTTTTGAGTCGCCTTCAATAATCAATTTATCAATTGCCATTTCTTTAGCCTTTTACACCCCAAACACTGCTGCCTTGAGCTCCACCCAGATAGAATCTCCTTCCCATATTGAGCTGAATACATTGCAATTAAAATTCCGTTCTCATTCCTATACTTCCCCTATTCCAGATGGACTAGGGTTTTCCATACTACTACCATCAAATTTGAGTCACCTCAAGTGGTAGTCTCCTGTCCTTCTATACCTTTGGTTTCTTAGATGAAGAGGTTCTGATTGCACCCCAATCAGTAAAAAAGCATTGTGAAATCTGAGAACAAATCCAATGTCTTCACCTAATGTGCTACTTTCACTGTGGCGCTTTCAATAATAGACTCCTTACTCCTTTCTTTCCCCTCAAAAATTCTTGTATTTCTCCATTGCAATGTCACTGAAAATGTGAGTCTGGTTATCTTTGAGAACCTCACTAGGTTTTCTCATCAAAGATTTTTTTATAAGCAACAGAAATCAGATTTCATTTATCAGTAAGGAAATCTACCTGCCAGTACAGAATGATAGCCCATGTACAACAACCAGCACAAGACCAGATACACCCCAAGAACCTTTTATCCTACTTGATGCGAGAGAGAGGAGAGAGTAATTGTAGAAAAGAAGAAAAAAAAAACTCTTTTATCCTTCTTTCTTTCAAGTTCTTCCTTGTTTAGGTTTTCAACTCTTCAAGGGTTCAACACAATGTCCACCGACTTTATCAAAAGCACTAACAAATAAGGGCATCCACCTAGACATTGCCTTGACAACTATGTTAGACAAACACCTTGCTGATACAAGTCATTTAGTCTTTGTGATGCCTTGACAACTACGGGCTTATGATCCCAAAAGAGGGATAATGAGGGATTTTTTGTGGAAACCAGGACAAAGTAAAAGAGAGCATTTAATCAAACGGGATACAATGTGCAAAAGCAAAAAGGAAGGTGGGCTTGGTTTGGGAAGAATAAAACTTAGGAATCCATCGCTGATGAGGAAACGGTTGTGGAGATATCCCTTAGATTCTGACAAACAGTGGCATACTTTTATCAAAAGCATCTATAGATAATGTCTAATGGGTGGGATGCAAGCAAGCTTGAAAACTAGAGCTTCATAGCCACTCCTTGAAAAGCCACAATCAATCTGGGAGAATCAAGGTTTGATGAGGGAAATAAAGAAACCTAGTTGTGGACAGAGACTGCAAAGTGGTTATCTCATGGTTGATTTCACAAAGTGTGATTCTAAGGAAATACAGGTTCTCAATCAGATAAACTTTGTTGTTTCAAAGAACTCTGAACTGCAAATGAACTTGCAGAAATACTGACAAAGCAAAAGCAAGAGTGGCAAAGCAGACAATGGTTTGGGTTGTCTAGAACTGGGGCTGAATTGTAAATTGTCTTGTACTCTTGTAATGAAAGAAAAAGAGTCGTTTTCTATATTTTTGGGGCTGACACTCTTGCTAAACAAGGGGTTAACAGGGATAACCTATTTTGGGCTGTTTTGTAATTGATATTTTCTGTATTTTTCATTAATGGCTAGTTTTAGCCTCTATTAAGAGTGAGGCTGCACCTCACGCCTCCCTCAGGGATGCTTGTAACAGCTTATCTTTTGATTAACGAGTTAACAGGGAAATGAGGAGAGGGGGTGGTGGAGATAAGAGTTCTTTTTTCCCCTTGTTTTGCAAGTGAATCAGCCATTGAGTTTGCTGATCTGCCTACCCACTGAACTCTGATTGTCATATTCCTTGTTAACCATTTAACCTTTTTTATAAGATCTTTAAAACCCCAAATCACAGTGTATGGAACCTTCAGCCAACCCACTATCACCTGGGAATCTCCTTCAATGATTAGATGCTCTATGCCTAGCTGATTTGCAAGCTGGATTCCTTGTACAGCAACAAGTAATTTGGCCCTTAACGAGTCTCCCACACCCGCAGGACCTGAGTACAAAGATATAATGTTACTATCTTTGTTTCTCAGCACTCCCATGCCTGAAGGTCCTGGATTTCCTTGGCTACTCCCATCAACGTTCAGCTTGATAAACTCCTCCCCTAGTGGCACCCATTTAACCCCATGCCTGTCCTTCCTGGTAGAAGTATTAGCCACTGCTAACCAGCTTCTCCATAGGTCATCAAAAGAGTATGCATCAAAGAGCTTTAGAGTTTTCAGCCACTGAATTTCCCTTGTCAGAATACATTCTTTAACTTCCGAGAAGCTCCTATCTTTTTCACAAAATATTATGGTGTTCCTTTCTTCCCAAACTGTCCACAACAAAGCTGCTCTTATGCACTTCCACATAATTCTCCCTCTCTGTGTGTCATCCAAACATAGACGGACTAAATAACAAGCTAGTATCAGATGGCAGGTTCCACCTACACTCAAACAACATAAGATTCCAATTCCATAAAGTTGTAGCAAAGGAGCAAGAGATCAGTAAGTGGTGACAGTCCTCATTCTGAGATTTACAAACAACACACCAATTAGGGGATAAGCACCAATTTGGTCTCTTTTGTAGGTTTCCAAAGGTATTAATCTTACCATAATAAACTTCCCAACAAAAAGCAACAATCTTTGGGGGAATGGGCCTAGTCCAAAATTCTTTAATTGGGAAATTCTGAGGTGCAAAAGTGGAACAAAGGGACATGGAGATAAGAGATTTCAAAAAAGACTTACAGGAAAAAGAGCCCAACTGACTAAGGGTCCACACTCTAGAATCTGAACCACCCTCCCCCGAACATACTGAACTCAACAGAAGAAGGAAAGCTAAGACATTGGAATTTTCAGATTCTCTCAATTTCTAGTGAAGTCAAGATTGAGGAAGAGCTGATAAAATCACAAATAGGTTCACCTTTGAAACTAGAAAGCTCAAAGAGAGAAGGAAAACCCTCCGAAAGGGGGGCTTCCCCTACCCACATACCCTCCCAAAATCTAATTTTCTGACCCAAAGCCAAATCATACCTTATGTGATTGACGAACACAGGAAGTTGTCATGGATAGCCTTCCAAGGAGCAGCCAGAGTAGCTCTATGTAAGCAGCCCACATCCCAACCATTATTTGACAGCCCATGGATACTTGAAATAACTCTAGCCACAACCTCTCATTTTCTTTAGGAAATCTCCAGAGCCATTTACTCAATAAGACCGAGTTCTTCAACTTAACATTTCCAATGCCCAAACCCCCCTCAATCTTCAAGACAGTTGAAGGAGGTGATCAAGTTGTTTGAACATATTTCTAAGTTGAAAATAAATTTCGAGATGAGTTGTGTGGCAGGAATAAATTTGGAGAAGGAGGAGTTAGAGAAAGTAGTAGAGTCTTTGGGTTGCCCAATAACTGCTTGGCTTGGCCCTTAAAATACCTTGAGATGCCACTAGGAGACAATCCGAAAGAAAGCATGTTTTGGAAACCAGTTGTAGAAAGGTGTTCTAAGATATAATTATCAAAAAAAAAAAGGTGTTCTAAGAGATTGGCTGCCTGGAAGAGAAATTAAGGGAAGGTAGAAAGGATCATTTGATCAAATGGGATGTAGTGTGTAAAAGTAAAGACCAAGGGGGTTTAGACATAGGGAACTTAAACAAGAAAAGTTCCTCTCTACTAGGTATATGGCTTTGGAGGTGGACCCAGGAGAGGGGAAGATTGTGGCAAGAGGTGATTGGTAGTATCCAAGGTTTTGCAGGCAATGGTTGGGATTCTAGGGTATCATCAATGGGCTACTTTGGCTTCTCCTCGGAAATCTATTTGTGGAGTGCTTCAATTCCTAAGCAAATCAGGTATGATGTTTGCTCTGGAGATAAGGTTATTTTTTGGAAGAACCTTTGGATTGGTAATTCAACCCTTAAAGATTAGTTCCCCTCTTTGTTTTCTCTTTCTTTGTGTAAAAAAGAACCTGTCTCTCACTTTGTTTACCTATTTGAGTTGATTGAGCTAAACTGGAACTTAGGGTTAAGAAGAAATTTAAGGGTCCTTGAATCAGAAAGGGCAACCTCGTTGTTGCAAATTCTTTATTGCGTTGCCCTAGATTTCTCTAAATCCGATGGTCAGATTTGGATTCCACACCCCAAAGGTCCTTTTTCTTGTGCCTCCTTTGCTTTCTTGTGTTCAGACCCAAACTCTCTTCCTTGCCCTGCTGATGAAACCTAGTCTAAACATATTCCTCCCAAGGTTGGGGCTTTGTGCTGGGAAGTTTTCCATGCGAAAATAAACACTTTGGATGTTTTGCAAAAAAGAAGACCTTTTATGTGCCTGTCCCCTAACTGGTGTACCTGTAAAGCAAGTGGAGAAAACTGCTACCATCTTCTGATATCCTACCCTTTTGTTGCTAGTCTCTGGGAAAAGCTTTTTGAACTTCTCGGTCGCAGGTGGAGCTTGCCTACTCAGATTAGAAGTCTCTTTGAACCAACATTCAGTTGGCCAAATACAAGGGGTAAAATTCTGTGGAGATGTATCAGGGCTGCATTGATTTGGACAGTGTGGGAGGAAAGGAATGGCAGAGTGTTCAATGATAAAGAAAGAAATAAGGAAACAGTTCTGGATTGCATCTTATATAGAGCTTTAATGTGGGCCAAGTCCCAAAAGTTATTTTCTGATTTCTCCTTTGATGATGCGGAGAAATTTGGAAGTTGTAGCTGGAAGTTCTGGACATGGGGTAAAACCTGTTGTGGGCTGGAAACCACCGGATGAAGGATTCATCAAACTGAACTTTGATGGCAGCAGCCTAGGGAACCCAGGCCCGGCTGGTATAGGGGGAGCTTTAGAAACTATGAAGGTCATGATGTTGTTGTGTTCTCAGGTCCAGTTGGAGTAGAGGACTCGGTTTTTGCAGAGTTCCAAGATGTCCTGCAAGGAGTACATATTGCTAGAGATATAAATTATGATAGACTGTTAATTGAAGGTGACTCTAAACTGGTAATAGGGTGGTTGAAGGAACCTGAAACTGTAATTTGGAAATACAAAGAATATTGAAAAGATTCAAGTGGCTGGTCAGAGATATGACAATTTCAATCCAATGGGAAAGGTGGTCAGCTAACAGGATGGCTGATTTCTTTGCAAAACAGGGGGTGCATAAGATTTGAGGAGTTGTGGGAGTCAAGTGGACTTTAGCACCATCCTGGAGTGCCTCTAGTGGAATCATAACTCTGTGGCAGGAGGAAACAATAGAATGCTTGGAAGAATTAGAGGGCAACTTCACTGTGCCAGTGTAATTAAAAAACCTGAATGGTGGATTTGTGTGGCAGCTGTGGCTACTGACTAATGTGTATGGCCCTAATTCATACAGGGAAAGAAACTTGACATGGGAAGAGTTGGCAGATATTAAGGGCTTGTGGGATGGAGCATGGTGCCTAGGTGGAGATTTTAATGTTATCAGATTTGTAGATGAGACTAAGGCAAAGGATAACAACAAGCATGAAGATATTTAATATGCTTATCGATTCTTTTGATCTCAAATAAATACCTTTAGGGCAGACAAACTATACTTGGTCCAACTTCCAAGAGACCCCCATTTGCTCTAAGCTCAATAGATTCCTTGTAACTCCTAATTGGGAAGAACATTGAAATTCCAATCATTGGCCTATTTGTTTATTTCAAGGAGGTAGGGTAGGGGGTTCAATTCCTTTTAGGTTTGAAAATATGTAGTTAACAGTCTCAGGGTTCCTACTTCCTACAAAAGGTCAAGGAGTGGTGGAAGGAGGAACAATCACAAGTAAAATGGCAAGGGAAGGGATTCTACAGGAAACTACACATATTGAATGCAAAAATTAAGGAGTGGAATAGAATGAACTTTGGAAAGTGGATGGGGGTCTAGGAATTGCTAATATCAATAAGAAAAAATTGGCTCTGTTTTGGAAATGGATATGGAGGTTTCCATTGGAAAATGAAAAAAGTGGTGGTAAGCATTCATGGACTTGCAGAGAATGGCTGGGATGTTGATATTATGCGCAACGCTACCCTTTTTTTATCAGCAAGCACAGAGCTACCCTTGTTTCTCCTTGGAAGGCCATACATTGCACTCTTCTGATGTTTCTTTCTCATGTCAGGCATTACCTTTCTTCCGGCAACAAGATTAATTTTTGGGAAGATTAATTTTTTTCTAGCAACTTAACCAACAAGATTAAGTTGGTTCTCTTCCAACTTTGCATCTTACCCCAGTCTAGTCTCATCAATCAGTACTATGTTGTCAGAAAACAAAAGCACATGGGACGACATAAAACCTCCTCTTGCAACTGCCTAATCAGCCCAATCATGACTAATGCAAAAAAATATGGACTAGGCGCTGACCCATACCGTCAAATCATTATAACCAGAGACCCATCCTCTCTCCCACTGTTGTTCTTACATTAGTCATTACCCCATCAAAGTATCATACATATCCGTAACAAGGTCAAGATAGCTGACAGCATAGTTGTCAAGGTGACGCCTAGGCAACAAGGCACCCTTGGAGGCTCGCCTCACCTAATCGCCAAGCAGTTTGAGCAGTGTTATAAAATACTTTTATATTCTTAAATTTTTGTGGTTATAATTATAAAATAAACATTATTAAACTAAAATATTCATTTTATGTTATACTAATTTCTTTTTATTATTCTCTTATTTTATATGTTTATTATTTTCTTATTCATTTTATGGATAATTATTAAAGAAATATGTTTATGGAACCTAGGGAACTACCCTAGGATAAAAACAAATCCATTGCCTAGGCGACTAGGCAACAAGGCACCCCCCTGTCGCCTAGCCTCGCCTTGGCACCTTGAAAACTATGGCTAATAGGGGCTACTTTGCTTCCCAAAGTCACCATGTTACCTCCCTAGAATTCTATCATAATGGTTTCATCAACTAAGCTTCATAATTTTAATGGCATCATTAATGAAAATCTTGATATGGAGCATGACTTTAATTAGAGGGAGAATTCATTGTTGACACATTATACTCCAAAATTCCATAATGATGGTGGCATCACAAAGAAAATACCCAATGATAAAATATCAATTTCAGGAGAACTAGGATGTATCTAGTATCTACTATTCAATAGTAACAGAAAGCACACCTCTTCTTTATTCCCCCATCCATCATAGCAGACATAATATCCATTTGGAGCAAGTGCCTCAATTGTTGCATCATACCTGGAGATTTAACTAATCAAACACATAAAAGAAAAAATGGTAAAACAAATGAAAAATAAAAAGAAAAGAGAAGTCATCAAGTTAGATCCTTCGTTGTATACATACCATTCCCCATCTTCACTCCAAACAGCTTGAACTTTTGTGCCAACAGGAAGCTTATCATATGATTCCGAGCTGTTGCTCAATGCCTACAAAAAAGGAGATCGTAAGCACTATGGGAAAGAGCGGAAAATTAAAACAAATAAACAAATAAACAAGTAAATAGAAAACATGTAGAAATAACAAAAGTTATAGATGCGTATGCATGGATGAAATAGTAGAATCTTTCTCAGCTTCTCCTACCTAGATTGCAATAGAACTATACAGAACATTAATACAATCTCGAGTTCCTAGAAGAAATGAACTTTGTCAAAAAAAAAAGACTTAGCAAAAGAACATAACCATGGGAGTGATCATAGCACATTTATTAATAGAAAAAGGAAGAACTCAAAATAATTACCATGTCATAATGAGAAGGCTCCTCAGACTGGTTCTGATGTGGAGATGCACCACCATCTGCCCCAGTATCCAATCCAGAAGACTCATTTTGCTTTGCAGTTGCAAAGAGTTCCTCTGTCAGTGCAATCACCTGTATCCCCACAATCTCACACAAGTAAGCCAAAAGAAAAAGAAAAGACTAATCCACTCACTCATTAAAAACCTAAACATTGATTTGAATTTCAAACTTAATCTCATCGTGAACATCTGAAATCAGGAGGGGGCAAGCAGGTAGGCCATCACGAAACATAACACCTGCACAGGAACCAAGATACAAGTGATGGGCATCTCGACAGAGCTGTGATTTGTTTTTTCTCGACATAGCTCCCATTTTTGGAATGTATGAGCTATGCTTTAATATGAACATGATCCTCACCTTTTCAAGACAAAAATAAAAAACAAAAACCTCGACGTGAATTCCTCAGCCATTACACAGCCAAATCATGCTGCCCTGCTTGAAAAACATAATGATGCCTTGAAAAAAACAAAGAAACAAGATGCGCTCTAAAACCAGAAATCCAAGTAATCACATAAGCTACAAATTTTAAACACTTTATGAAAAACAAAAAACAAAAAAAGCTTTAGATTTCTTTACAAAAAGTTTTTGAAGTCATTTTAGAACATGATATATTGCAGGAGCTCCACCAGAGACACTTAACAAATCTAAATAAATGAAAGTTAAAAGAAAATTCTAGAAAGAAAAGGAATATATAAAGAATTTATTTGAAGTAGCTAACCTCCTCAAGCTCCTTTTCCATGTCAGCATATTCAGAATTCCCAGGGTCATCAGCCAACAGTTTTCTAACCTGATTAAAGGGCGCAGGAGGGATTATTATACAAGTGAAGAAGAATGCAGTCAAGGATTTAAAACTGCAATAAAATAAAGCATATTGAAGTGATTTAATTTACAAAAGTACAAAAGCCAATGTGGAATAATACCACATTAGAAGTACAAAAATACATGAATACAATGTAGACAAAGTGCATATATTCTTAATTGACAAAGTAAATTGTAAAAATGGATTTCATCATTAGATCATAGCATGTAGAAATGCCCACCGCAGTAGATCTTTTGCAAGTGTATTCCAATAAACCTATTTGCTATCTTGTATGGCCCATGAACACGTGGCACACAAAAAAGACATTACGTTGCATTATAGAAAAGAAAAGTAGTCAATTAATAAATTGGGGGAAAAAAAACCTATGAGACTAAAAACTCTCCCAGGGTGACCTACGAATTTTGGTGTTCAAAACCCTAACTTCATGAAAGTGAGAACAAGACGTCGAGATAGATGCTTTCTAAGTTTTTCCTAGACGAAGGACAAGACTCCCTTGAAGATCACAGAAATGAATAGATGAAAATTCACTTTGAACAAGGTCTCAGAAACCCTAATTTCATATATTGCCATCAAAACCCTAATTTTTCAGATAACTCAGTCAAAACACGTTAAAAAGCCTCCAAGAGAAAAAGGTAGAAGATAGTTCATGACTTCAAACCAAGAACAAGAACAAAGAGCAGGAGAACCCAGGGCCTACGAAGAACTAAAAGCGCAGATTACGAGAATTCTTAAAAAGCATAAACCCTAATTCGGATTATAAAAGCGAAGCACAGGAGGAGGAAATCAGAAACACAAAACACAAAATCGAATCTAACACATGGAAACACAGTGCGTAAGAGTACTAATTAGAAAGAAAATTAAAAGAAAAGGAAAAAGAATACCTGTTGAAGCTGTTCCTTGTAAGTAGAAAGGTTTGAAGCAAGTTCATCGATGCTAAGCTCCTCGCTTCCTTGCATCCCTCTCTCTCTCTAACCTTGTCTCTTTCTAGCGGCCAACAAATAAGAATTGCAGGATGGAAGAGCGAAGGAAATGGGAGCAAATCAGAGAAGGCTTCGCAAATAACGTTTGCTTATCTCTGGAGAGGATTTTATGAGAGAGAGAAAACCGACGGCTGACTCATGACTGTTCCTTCGCACGTGAGAATGTGATGCAATTTAGAGCTGGGCCCGCCTTATGAATGGCCCTCCAATTTTAGGGCTGGTCCATCCACGATCACAAAGAAGACCAAAGTGGTTAAGTACGAGTAGGGGTGAGAAAAAAAATCGAAAAACCGAACGGACTGAAAAAACCAATCGAAATTGAATCGAAAAATTGGTTAATCAAATCGATTGGTTCGGTTTTGATTAGATATTTTTAAAAAATCGAAGGTATTAGTTCGGTTTTGATTAATCAATATAAAAAATCGGTGGTTAATTGAACCGACCGGTATACATATATTCTATATATCTTATATATTTATGTATATTATATATATATATATATATATTTATATATTATAAATTAATAAATATGCATTACATATATATATATATATTTATATTTATAATATATGATATATTATTTATTAATTAAAATATAATATTATATTTATAAATTTTTATAATATATATTATAAAAATTGAAAAACCGAAAAACTGACGAGTTGAACCGACGGTTAATCGAATCGGTCAACTAGTTAATCGATTGGTTTCGGTTACCTGTTTTCCAAAAACAAAAAACCGGTAGGACTGGTTCGGTCCTAACCGAAAAAGCCCTAACTGAAACCCAAACCGTGAGCACCCCTAAGTGCGAGAGCTGAGCCCTAGACCTAGTGCCCGTTTTGGAGGGCTTTCGAGTAGCAGCTTTGGCATTTCCAAGAGCCGAGAAAAGTCATAAAGTCGGTCAGCCTTGGTGGGTTGGTGCCTATTTGCATTGTTGAGAAAAAGGAGTCACAGAAACTTGGAGGAGAAGCTCTAAGGCATATACGAAGACATTGTCTTTAGAACATTATTTGCCCCCACTTAGTTTTATTGAGTTTGTTGTTAAGTTACAAGCAAATTTGTTTATAGGATACAATAAAACCTTAGGTGAGAATTTGCAACAAACAATGTTGAAGAATTTCTGAAAAACCTTCTATAAGATAGTAATAGATTGAACTAAGAGAGACAATAATGAATTTTCGAAAAACTTGTGTTCATTTGCTTGATTCACATTCCGTAGGCTATATTTGGTGATTAAGTGGTTGTTAAAAAAACACAAGTACTTTTTAGAAGTGCTTATTTTAACAACCACTTAAGGTTGTTTGGTGACCCATTTGCCAAATCACTTATTATGTTTTTTAAGCACTTTTTTGGGTGGGGATGTTTGGTCAGCTACTTTCCCCGCAAATGTTTATATTGACACAAATGACAATTTTAGCCCGCACTTTACTCATACTTATAAACAATGATTTTTACATATTATAATATACATTTCAATGAAAAATCGCTATATCATGACACCTGAGAGCCCACGTGGGCCCACACGTAGAGCACTATGTGAATCCAATTAATAATAATAATAATAATAATAATAATGATGATGATGATGATAAATAATAATAATAATAATAATAACAATAATAATTTAACAAATATTGAATAGTATTTCCAAAAAGTACTTTCAAGGCGTAGTTTTCACAAAATACTTACAAAAAGCACTTTCAAGGTGCAATTTTCACAAAATACTTCTATAAAGTGTTTTTAAGGCATAGTTTTCATAAAATAGTTCCAAAAAGCACTTTCAAGGCATAGCTTTCACAAAATACTTCCAGAAAGCACTTTTGCAATTTTCTCAAAAAACTTTAGTAAGTGCTTTTAAGGCGTAGTTTTCACAAAATACTTATAGAAAACACTTTCAAGGTGCATTTTTCACAAAATACTTTCATAAAGTACTTTCAATGCATAGTTTTCACAAAATACTTCCAAAAAGCACTTTCAAGACATAGTTTTTACAAAATACTCCAAAAAGTGTTTTTAAGGCACAGTTTTTCACAAAATACTTCAATGAAGTATTTTTATGTCACAATTTTCACAAAATACTTTTAGAAAGTGTAATTAAATAGAAGTATTCACAAAACTACTTTCATGTCCATGTTCATTTAATGTGCCCTAAAGTAACATAAAAGTGTGGATATTTATAAAATTGCATCTCAATTGGACATGTACAACATGCCCAGTGTAATTACTCCAATTACCAGAACACACATGGATGCCTAGTACACATAGGTTAATCCGGATGCATCAGTCATTTTAGACAACCGATAGTTGAAGAATCATATAAAGCCATGAAATAATGGAATTGACAATCTGCTTCTTCGTATGTTTTATATGAGCAAAACACTGCACCACTGTACCGGTGGACCAACAAGTTGCATTCGGCTCAGGTATCGCATTTACCTGGGTGACGACCAATGAACACTACATAGTATTTCCTATCAGCCATTAATGACTTGTAATGAGAGAATATATACTATCAACAACTAGATTAACATAAAGTATCCAAAACACAAAGTTCCTAAATACAATAAAGTCAAATACATCCACATTTGATGCATAATGTTTATCAAATACAAAAAAAAAACAAAGACCATGACCACCAACATGAGTTATGTTGACCTATGCCTCCTCAATGGTGGCTGAGTATGGTTAGCATATATTGCATCTGTAAGTTGTTGCCTAAGCAACAACATTTATTGTTGTTGATTCACACCACCAACAACAACCTCATCGAAATCTTCTCCATTTGTATCAGACGAAGGTTGAATTTCGATATCTTCATCATTCTCAAACTCATTAAACAGGGTGTCTATGCCCTAGTTGTCCCTAATGAAGTTGTGTATTGTCATGCAAACCACAACTATCAACCGTTGTGTTTCTTAATGGATAGCATGACATACACTCCGGGATAGGGAATCGAGCCTTCAACACACCAAACCTCCGCTCGAAGACACTTCTCAACGAGGCATGGGTATTATTGAAGTACTCTTCCTTGGTTGTAGGATGTCCTCCCCTTCGAAAATCAAGCAAATGGTATCGTATATTACGGTACGGTCCCATGTAGCCAGCAATGTTGGGGTACGCATTATCAACAACATAATACTTACCTAAGAATAAGAATGGGAATATGAATATTATTTTTGCACAAATTCAGATAATACGCAAGAAATTGCAACGTATGGAACTAGGGGTGACCATTTCAGCCAAGCCCGAGCCCACATCAGGCCTGCAAATTTTAGGGCCAGGCTTGGGCTTAATACTTCAAGACTGGCCCAGGCCCGACCCGACCCGCATATATTTAAACTTACACATTTTGTGTATAATGTATACGTATGTATACATGTTATTTTATATTAGACTAATATTTTATATATAAATATTATAACATGACATGTATAATTTATATTATATGTAATATTTTATATTATATAATGTATAAAATAAGTTTATATGCATCTTATGTCATTTAATATAAAATATTATAGATATGCAATGTTTTATATATGAAAGACATTGGCCTAAAATCAAGCTTGGCCCGGCCCGAGCCCGTGTAGACCTGGGCTAGGGCTTTTGTTTTAGGCATGGAACCTCAGGCCGGACCGAGCCCAGGCCTAAGCTATAGCCCTTATCATAAGTGCAAAGCCCGGCCCGACCCATGATCACCTCAATATGGAGCCATACCCTGTGGTGAATGCGGGAAATTATATTTCGAATTATGTACAACTTCTACAAATACGCGATAGTTATGTGCAATCCCCTCCCATCTAGGAAGGACAAATGTAAACCACATGTTGAAATCACACATGACCATTACATTTTGTGTGCAAGGCCCTTTTCTATGCCGGTACAGTGTCTACTTATCAGTAGGGACCCATGCTAATACGTGTGTCCCATCAATAGCCTCTATGCAATTTTACAAAAAAAAATGAACCCAATAGCTTTCAGTATCCATTTATGATGTAGTTTTAAAATGGGCTCATAGTGTGCAAATGCTACCTTGAAATATGGCCAATATTTTGGATTCTGACAAATGTGTGGATGCACAATGTTAAAGTTGGGGTGGGGGCATATTATTGACAATGGGAGTTTAATTATCGCCATCAGCATGTCATTGAAAAATCGATTAAATTGTCTCGCCGGAATATTGGAACCGTTCTTGCATCATCTGATTCCTTTCATTATGTCCAACAACATGAAGGAACATATTATTGACAATGAGAGTTTAACTATCGCCATCAGCATGTCATTGAA